TGAGTTGTCCAGGAAGGGGTTCATACTGCACTGTCAAACTTGGCTGCCCGTTTTGTGGGACTCAGGATTATTTGTATGGGCATATACAGTCAGGTATAGCAGTTTGAGGACCACTCCTCTACTTTTATCCTCTGCATCTAGTGATTTCCAACTGAACATCAGATTTGTTCATTTTTTATTTAAAGCCTCTGCAGCCAAATGAATTTCGCTGTGAACCTTGAATGGCCTTGATGTTGGTTTGTAGTAGCCTTGTGTAATTATAGTACTAAAATTCTTCAGTTAGTTTCCTAACCTGCAGTTGACTGTATTTGGTTGTCATGTGTAGCCTCAGACAGACCAGCCTAGTAAATGAAACACTCGGAATAGTTGAAGAGATTTCCCCAGTCACAGGTATGATACCTTTTCCAAACATGGCTCAGTACAGTGAGGCCTAGGGGCACTTGTCAGAGAGGAAAAAGAGAACTTTTGTAAAGAAAAGCCTATATTCTGACAGAGATTGAAAGTCTCTTCTACTTCTGACACGCTTTTTCCAATTTGCTGCTGAGCTTCAGGTCACACAGAGTTGTGATGTTCACACTTAAAACTTCCTCACTTGCTGAATGTGCCCTAAAGACAAGGGCAAACACTTGACTACAGTGTTGGGTGGCCGGAACCATTCCCCACCCATTTTTAAAGCTGATGAAGTATAATTTCATTGGGCACCTGATGTCTAGTTAACAGCAATATTTGAATTCGATAATGCATCCTAGTTTTCTTCCAGTGTTTGTGAGCACTCGTATTGAGGTTGTATTAACATGACTGCATTTTCAGTCATCTTCACTTGCTTAAAACATTTTAGCAGATTAAATCTTATTATATTTGAAATATTGTATTACAGACCTCTGAAATGAGGAGAAACTACGCTTCAAGGCATGTTACTTGTTAATGACTTTAAATATTTTAACTAAAAACTGAGCAAGGACATCAGGATTTGTCCTAGAGCTAAAACAAAACTCCAAACATTACTGTATTCTGCTTTCTCAAAATAGCATATTCCCATGAATATGAATGGGAGTCAGGTCGATAACTTACATTATGAAAATGTAGGCCATATACCATGGCTTAGGTTCTGATTAAGCAAAGCAGTTAAGTAGTAAGTGCTTAATGTCCAGTGCTTCCTGAATTGGAACTTTGACTTTAAAAAAGGCTAAAGTCAAAAAATCTTGTGCTTGCATTCAAGCAACATGCAAGTAGTTATCGTTTAATTTCTCTATCTACTCTGAGCTTTCATTTAAATACAAGCATTTTAACAAAATAGAAAAAAGGCTGTTAGTGAAGAAACAAATAATTTAGGTAACTGTAGCCCTTTACAATGGTGATATCAGTGAAATCAGGTGATGCATGTTTAAGTGTATTTAGGATTAAATAATTTTTATTAACTCTTCAGTTTTGAGAAGTATTGATCTTTATGAAGACAGATGCGCCCACTGATTAAATAATGACTTAAGTGCTGATGCCTTTGACAGATAACTTTAAAAATGTGTTGAGAATTCCAAAATTCCCACACAAACACATTCACTCTCCAGAAATGTAATGATTAATCAGAAACAAGTTTGTTGTTTAATACTAAATACTTTAAATTAATATTCATCTGAACTTAGAGTCTGAGTCTGGGACATAAGCCACCCGGCTAGCATGATGGCAATATGCTGTGAAGGCAGCTCATTTAACACCTCCCGATGCAGGGGAGCTCAATCTATAACACTCACTGAAGTAGTGCTGATGAGCTCTGGAGGGAGCTACATCCAGCCCTGTCCGATTAGAGAGACACTTGCCATGGCACATGGCATTGGAATGGAAGTGGGAGGGTGGGGTGGATAACTAGGGGAAGAGCCTTGGTTTATCTACAGGGTCTTAGATAGGGTTACCATATGTCCGGGTTTCCCCGGACATGTCCGGCTTTTGGGACTTTAAATAGCCGTCCGGGGGGAATTTGTAAAAAGCTAAAAATGTCCGGGATTTCCCCCGGACGGCTATTTAAAGACCCAAAAGCGCTGACAGGGCAGCCGCGCTGGGGGAACCGCGGCAAGCCGGCGCCACCGGCGCCACTCACCTTTCCTCCCTGGGCCCTGGGGCAGCGCGCAGTGAGCTCCCGGCACGGCAGCGCCAGCCCACGGGGTCCCCCGCCCGGCCGGCAGGAGCCTGCAGAGCGCAGCCCTGCCCCTGCCCCGGCACACAGAGAGGCAGGGAAGTCTCACTCCCCTGCGTGCTGCAGCAGGGCGGGGCTTGTAGACTCTGGGAGCAGGCAGCGGCCGCCAGGCAGAGAGCCCTGCCCCCCTCCCCTCGACCCGACCCTAGGAAGGGGCCAGAGGGACTGGGAGGGACCTGCCTGCTGGATGCTTCCTGGGAGCCGCTCCAGGTAAGCACTGCTGGGCTCACCTGGCCCCCTGGCAGGTCCCTCGGGGGGGGCTCCCCTCAGCCCCACTGCCCCCAGCCCCCACCCTGACCCTGTTCCCTCAGCCTCCCCTGCAGTTCCCCCTGTACCTCCCACCCCGAACCCACTGCCCTCAGTCCCTGCCCGCGTTCCAACAGCCTCCCCCACAGTCCCCCTGCTCCCCCCAACCCACTGCCCTCAGCCTTGCCCTACCCCAAATCTCTTCTTCAGCCTCTCCCGTCATCCCACCCCCATCGCTCTCCCTGCTGTCCCACCCCCTCAACTTCCCACCATTCCAGTACTGCTCCCCTCTGTCTCATCCCCTCCAGACCCTGTCCCTCTCCCCAATCCTCCCCAGCCCAGCCCCATTGTCTCCCCCGCCCCACCCCACTCTACACAGCTCTCTCTACCCTGTCCCATTCATGCTCCCCTCAGCCCCTACCCTACTCCCCCCATCCCAGTCCTGTCCCATCCCCCTCAGCCCCCCCAGTCCCAGTCCTGTCCCCCTCAGTTCCTCCACCCTGCTTCCCCCGCTCCATCCCCACACACCCACCGACTCCCTCAACCTCCCTCCCCCCAATCCCACTGCCTGGACCCACCCCCGTCCCACTCAGGACATGCATGAAAAAGAAGCAATGGGCTTAAATTGTAGCAAGGGAGAGTTAGGTTAGACATTAGGAAAAACTTCCTAACTGTAAAGGTAGTTAAGCACTGGACAAATTACCTAGAGAGGTTATGGAATAGCAGTCATTGGAGTTTTTTAAGAGGTTAGACAAACACCTGTCAAGAATGGTCTAGTTGTTATTACTCAGTCCTGCCTCAGTGCAGGGGTTTGACTAGATGACCTGTTGATGTCCCTTCCAGTCCTACATTTCTGTGATTCATACTAAATTGCCTTGTGCCACTGTCTAGTAGTAGTGGCACACAGTTCTCTGACATGCAGGTTTATAAAATTGTAGTTAATATACAGTTTAGAGTATAGCAATTTTAAAGCTCTGCATGTTCAGACCAACTGAGCTGAAAATTGTGATCTTGTATTCAAAACTATTAAGATGTGGGCTGAAATAAAATCAGCATGAATTGCTCAACAATATCAATGGAATCAGCATTGCGCTGCTATATATTGTAAAACATTACAGTGAAATCTTGCAAGTATTACATAGCACGCCGCCTTGCCCAAGTGGTAACTAAGCATAACATCTTCCTGTTTCAACATTCTTAACTTGTATCCCTCCTAGAAGTTGTTTTTTTTCAAACACTGAATGCTGCTAAGTTATGAGTTTTAACAGGTTTTTTTCTTTTAAACCACAGCACTGAATGTTATTCTAAAATTGTTTTCCAAATATTCTTAAACTCCCAGTTTATCCCCCGCTGATGTTCATTGTGAAAAGTATTGCAGGTCTAATAATAATATTTGGCACTTTTGTAATTCACTGTCCAACATGTGTTTTGTGCCCTCCTGTGGTGGATTTTTAGAGGATAACTGTATAGCTACCAGCTAAGGGAGTTATAGCTTGAACTCAAGTAGTAGAAGCTCATGCTTTTAAGTCTGGATGGCTCCGGTTCAATCTTTGGTGACTAGTTATGATGGAGGTTGCTACACTTATAATCCCTTTAATCAGAGGTTCTGAATATGCTTTGTTGTAGGCAGAACTAGCCTATAGTTAAGCAACCGAAAATTTAGAATGGGAAGTGTTGAAATGTTGGGAAGCCTTATAATTTTGCCAATCTGGAAGGGCGGGGAGAGAGGAGAGTGAGACAGGACCAGGAAACTGGGACAAGGAATCCAGAGTGGTAGTGGGGGGCAGTTGAAATCAGATGAGGAGCTGGGGCGGGTTAGACAGCAATAGGATAGACATAGACTGGAGGGGACGGGGAAGAAGGGTCTTTGACTACTAGAGACCACTCCGTTCTCTGAACATTTGATTCGCGGGAAGCAGGGGAGGGGGAAGAGTAGGGGGCGGAGCGTTCAGGGGAGGGGGCGGAGTCGGGGCAGGGACTTTGGGGAAGGGGCGGAGTTGGGGTGGGGAAGGGGCGGAGTTGGGGCAGGGCTGGGGGCGGAGTTGGGGCGGAGCCAGGGCCCCTTGGAGTGTCCTCTTTTTCCAGGACTGCAATATGGTAACCCTATCTTAGAGGTTTCTGGTTAATAGAAGTGGTAGAATTAAACCTAAAATGTACTCTGTCATCTGAGGGATGCTACCCATTTGACAGTTTAGAGGTGCATTCCTTGCTGTAAATATTCTTGAGGGGAAGATGAAGGGGAGAGAAGACTTACAAATGTTGATGACCTAAAGCTTCCACCCCCCTTCTTTTTAGTTTAAAAGAGAAGCATTTTCCTGGGGTTGTTTTATCTCAGCCATTCAGACTGGAGCTCATTTGAATGTCAGTTTCAAAGCAGAGCTGCAGCTCCTGCTGTTTCCCTCAGCAGGACTCTCAATAAGCATAATAAGCATGTGTAATATTTTTTCCATTTAGAGTTAATATTTGAAGCAGATATTCACACCTTAATTTATCAATGATAGCATTATTCCTGTTGTGATCACTCAACTGAAGTAGATGTCTCAATTTCTATTTTTATTATCTGAAGGTACTATATATCCGGCTTTGGCAAGGACATTGAAAATAAACAGATGTTTGACTGCAGTTGAAAAAAATTATTGCATCTTTAAAGTTTCCATTAAAGGACAAAAGCATTTGCACAGAAAAAAAGTTAGAGAACTACAGTTTGGGAAAAAGTTTCACACACATGGTTAAATCAAGTTTAACATGAGTTGGTGGCTGTTAATTTTAAATAAATCTCCAGACTATAAAATATTTTTGATAGATTCATAGTTTATCATTATATATCCACAAACACCACTGCCAAATATAAAAGCAACGTATATAACTTGGAGACAAAAGATGTCCCTTTTTAAGTTAAAAAACTTAAATTGGAGTATTCCTTGCTGTAAACTGGTCTCACTCTCTTGCAACACAATACCCTCCTGTCTCTGCTTTTCAGTAGTTTGCAACTATACTACTTTCCACAGATACATACTTGCTTCAGCAGTGATATTCCATGCCACTTTGTAAAATGCACTCTGAATATGAGGAGCTCTGCTGAACATTGTACTATTTTTCTGGTGACTTGATCAATATGTTTTTGCAATAGCAAATATGCTGACTGACTTAACCAGTGTGTTGGACTTGATGAGTGATTTGTAACCACTGTTCTTGCTGGAGGGCAGTATATGTCTGAGTGAGGCAGATCTATGATTCTTTTGCTGAATAAAGACATATTCAGAGCAACTCCTGTCTGAGTCTTCATTTGCAGCAATTTAGCATTACTTTGTTTTGAAATATGGTTTTGTTCACATATACTGATACTTATTCATTGCAACATTTTGCCCATTTTCTACCAGTGTTATCAAAATACGTCCATTGTAACTCAGAATTTTAAATGAGTCCATTCCAATGAAAATACAAAAATTGGGCATATTAAAAGGACAATGTCTAGTTGTTCAAGCCCAAAATTTAACTGTCCTTTTCATTTCTCTGTTACATCTGTAATATGCTCACTGAAGCACAGAATAATAAACCTGAAAGTAAACTTGGCATTTGAGTCTTGCATATGATAACTCATATGACAGAGACAATGACATGGTGAGTATTCAGCACTTTCCTTTTGGTGTAAAAGCTGTTTTACAATATATAGAAATGTATAAAAATATAAAACTTGATTTTTTTTATTGTGTGCAGCCCTTCCCATACAGCCTTTTTCTTTCCTCCTTCCCACACCAGCCTCCAAATCACCATGTGTCAGTAATCCCACCCTGCACCCAAGGGAAGGCTGGACTTGACTCTCTCAAAATGGAGCCAGGTTAGCACTGCTTCAGAGCTTGATGTGCTTCTTAGTTACATATATCAGGGAAAGTGTGTTTTGAGCAGGGCCCATATGTTTCTTTTGGTGCATGTCCAATGGGATGCCTAGCTCTGAGGAGAAGAAAGCAGAATCTGAACAGTAAGAAAGACAGTGGAGACAAACAGAATTCTAAAAAGGTAATAAAGAAGACATGATACACACAGAACTAATATTAGATAAACTGATTTTTATTGTACATTGTATTGTCTTTTCTGGGAAATGCCCAACAGCTCTGTTAATTTCTGTGTGAATGGGGGGTTGTCATGGCAAAATTATGTTTATTAGACATGGCACAAATTGACGCTTATCTCTGGGCATGTAACAAGGAGGTCAGAGGAGGTCATTCAAGTGTATCCCATAGTGATAAGGAACTTCCTCCTTAATTTCAATCCATGTGCTCTGAGCTTTTGCCAAAAGCAGTTGCTTAAATGCAGCAGAAGGCAATTGATCTGCCCAAGTGCTTGTGTCTGTTGCCTCAGTCCAGTAATAGCAGGGCAGACTGGTCATGTTCTAATTTTATAAGTACCCCAGAAAATGTTTTTTTTTAAATGATAATGTAGAATCTTTTAAGAATTTATTTTGTCCCTAACGATATTTGGCTGTTATATTCCCCCTCCCCCCAACCCCCCGTGGTCAACTCCAGGAGTGATCAGTCAGGCCTCAGGTCTCCAGCTGTCACCTGTCTCTGGTCAGGGACCCTTTTCCCATTCCCTTCTGGGGGGTGGGGGGGGGGCGGTTAAGGCTGCCCAGCTCCCTGCCTTACACTCTCATGTCCCCAGCAAGGTATTCTGTCTAAAGGCCAGCATTTGCGCTTTGCTTTCTCTCAAAGGGCTATGAACAGTGGATTGCCAGTAGTCACATGTAACGGGGGGGATAGCTCAGTGGTTTGAGCATTGGCCTGCTAACCCTAGGGTTGTGAGTTCAATCCTTGAGGGGGCCATTTGGGGATTTAGTTGGGGATTGATCCTGCTTTGAGCAGGGGGTTAGACTAGATAACCTCCTGAGGTCCCTTCCATCCCTGATATTCTATGAATAACAAGCTCTTCCTATTTTATTCTAAGATAAAAGCATTACACAGAAAATAGAAAAAAACAAACAGATTAAAACACACACTAAACATGCAAGGAGTCACCCTCGCTCCTATGGGGCCCAAGTAGGCCAAAGTTTTTTCCAACCCATCCGCAAGGGTGGGTTGGGCCCCTTTTGAACAGAAAGTACTGTTCGTTTGCTGGATCAGAACGAAGGCCTGTGTCAGTTCAAGCTCATCCTTTTATACCACAAGTCCTTTCTTTGTCTGCTAGTCTCTGGAAAACACAGTTTGAACCAATATAGGCAAACCACTCTGGGGATGTTACCTCTCTCTAGGGTTTAGTCTGTGACTCACCTTAATCACCGCCCACTGTTTTTAATTTGTGTAGGAGTTGTAGTAACCCTCCCCAGGGAGTAGAACAAATCCTCCATAAACCATTCATAACATTTAATACAATCCCCCCACCCCCCGACACTCTATGGGGTTGCAATACCTGTCACAGACTTAATCTCTGTTTTAGCTTCCCCTTTAATTTCTGTTCAGTGGGGATACTGACCTCAAAGACATGTTCCAAGGAATAAATGGTTAGTGTTTGCACAGAGCTTTGAAGATGAAAAACCTTAAAATAGTACAAATGTCTCTATTGGACAGTTCGGGTCCCACCTTGTCCATATTGTTGTATTATCTTTTATCTGGGCTATTTTACAAGGCAAGGTGTAGCAATTGGGCAATCACTAAAACCATCTTTGTGCTTATTCTTGTAAGGGAATTGCTATCTGAATTAAGTTGAGATAAGAAAGATGTGGAGAGGAATCAAGTCAATTAAAATGCGTGCTGAAAAACAGTGTATTATCAGCCACTTATCTAAACAGTGTTGAGCCTAGACAGTGGAGGATTTTAATTCAAAAGAAACTCCTTTACTGCACTACTCTGTTAAAATACATCCATTTCTCCATTCCCTCCACTTGCTCCAGTAGAGAGAGAGTCTACTAACAATCATACAGAGTCTCCATTAATGTTAATAGAAACTATGATCATGCACTGAGAAAAGAATATGTTACAGCCATGATTTTCATTAGTGATTAGTGACTTTGGATACCTCAATTCTTGGGTGTGCAATTTTGAGACACTTTACAGGGGCCTGATTTTCAGAAATTCCTAAGAACCCCCTTGTGAAAATCAGGAGCCTTTAAGGTGTGTCAAACTGGGTATACCACAGATGCCACACACCCACCTCAATGGGTGGGGGAAGTTGATTGGGCTGGCGGTGAGGGGGAACAGCCCCACAGCCAGGGAAGAAGATAGCTCCGCCCCTACCTTGGCACCCATTGGCTAGCTGGGGGGACTGAGTGCTGATTGGCCAGAATTTCCCAGCTCCAGCTATTTCATACGCCTCGGTTGATCTGGACACAGTGGTGAAATGGAGACAGACATATGGATGGGTTTTAAACAGCAGGCCACTACTTTTATTAACTTAAACACAGGGGAGGGGTTGCTACCTGCCCGTCACCCACACTCTCATAGAGAAGGCTTTGACGTTGTCCCAGTTTGAGAGTTAAAGGGTCCTATCATATAACCTGTAATTTGGGGTAGGCTTTCTTCAGCCTACCCCCGAGGACTGAACTCACTCTGAGTCCTATCACCACTACCTCCCCACGAGGTGGATGGAGGGTGCAGAAGGGTTGGGGTTTTGGCCCACAAGTTCTCCCCCTATCCCTTGAACTGACTCTACACAAATTGCTGTCAAATGCACAAAATTGAAAAGGCAGAGAAATGCTTTTGAGAGGGTCTTTTTCAGGTATTATTCAGAACAATGTTAGGGGAAAAAAAACAGAGGTTTGTCTTTAATACATAGAGTCCTTTAAAATACAGGATATTGGATATACTGTATGTTCTACTCCTGCGGGAATTATACACCACTGCGCAATGCAGAATTTGCAGAAGTTAATGGTTTTTGTGCATGATTTCCTTTCCCCAACAGAAATGGGCTGCAGTGCTACTGGCCACTACTAGGGGCTGCTGGACCCAGCAGAGCCCAGGTTGCACATAGAAGACACTGCAAGGGGGGGGGGGGGTAGAGAGTTCCTAGCAGCTGCAGTTCCCTGCACGCCTTGAGGGAAGGAAACTCCACACAAGCCTGGCTGGGACACAGCAACAGGCCTTTTCTCCTTCTGGATCCCTGGGAGGGAGGGTGGTGGTGTCTGGGCTGGGGGGGCCACGGCTGGGCTCTGAGAGGGAGGGGAGGGTGTCTGGGCTGGGGGGGCAAGGCTGGGCTCTGGGAGGGTGGGAGAGGGTGTCTGGGCTGGGGGAGCACAGCTGGGCTCTGGGAGGGTGGGGGAGGGTGTCTGGGATGGGGGGCCACAACTGGGCTTGGGGGGGGAAGGGGTGTGGGTATCTGGGCTAGCAGGGCCCCTATGGCTGGGATTGGGGGAAGGGGGTTCGGGTGTATTGACTGGAGGGGCCCTGTGACTGGATTCGGGTGTGTGTGTGGGTGTCTGTCCCCCTGACTGGGCTCTGAGGAGCGTGAGGGGGCAGAGAAACAGGAACTGGGTTGTCATAGGGGTTTTGTTTAACTCTCTACTCCTGAGGGAAATTTTGTATGTGTCTATATTGTTACAGACATACCTGCTGACAGGTATTTTTAAATAAATTACCAAAATAGTTGAAACTGGCATGATTATGTAGTGTTATTTTGACAAAATTTGCAGAATTTTGCA